TACGAAGTTTCTTTTAAAGAATCCGTGGTTATTCTATATTTAAATCTGATAGTTGGGGAGTAATCAATATTTGTATAAACATGTTAATGAAAATAAAAAGATATATTGAGGGTTGTCGGTTTAATTAAGGCCATTTAGCACTAGAATTACCAAAGCAGTCAAAATGAGTGGTTAAGTACACTTTTATAACAATGATTAAGATGTAATATTAACTTCTCAAATTTTTTAAACTTTCATTGCAATATGATAGTGAAGAAATTATTTAAAAGTTTGTTCTGTTTGTCCGTAGACATGGATATATGGAAGTACATAGGCGTTTGTCGAAATATTGATTCTTGTAAAAATGATGGACATTTGAAGATTATTAGTTGCTTACCAAAATTTTCTTTGAAATTATCTGTGACATAGACAGTTTTTAATAAATCGTAAAACCTCCCTGTACTGCTGTAGTAAATACCATATAAGTAATGAAAATTTTTAGATTTTTTTTTTCTTAGATCAAAATATTCTGTCAAAAATTATATCAAATATTTTCGCTCCTACTGCAAACCGTGGAGAGGGTCCTTTCAAAAACTACAAGAATGGAAGAATTGTCTAAAAAACATAATTACAACATTTTTTATACACCATAAGGTATGCAGAACAAAGTCCTTAAAAAGGTTAATCATTTATTTTAAAATTTCGTAAAATAATTCTGAAACCTGCACACGATTTTCGAGCTCCTGGGTGGCTCAATCCTTCAAGTGGGACCGCCTGTATAAATCGAATTTTCGCAAAGTTTGTTGCTGTTTAATGTCTTTTCATACTTTCTAAATAGTTCAAATGGAATATTAAATTTTCAGGAGTTCTGGGCTAAGATCCTCGGATTCTGAACCACAGGTGCATCGTTGCGGCGATTTTCGCGCTGACGTATCAGGGGGGAGGGGGGGGGGGGATTAATTATCGCACGGAATCGATCGGCGTTTCGAGACCGAGGGGGTTTTATGTAGGTCGAGATGTTGGTTACAATTAATTCCCCGTTGCTGTTTATCGGGGTGCGACGAAATTTATTAAAACTCGACCCGTTGTCAAACACGACGGTAATAATTATCGCGAGCGACACGCGCGGATTCGATGTTGACGCGGCAATTAATTGGCGTCATTGCGGAACGCTGGGCGAGGTGAGCGGATGGTGCTGGTCCGAGGGGATGATTTTCGGTGGTGCAATTAAATTGAATGATTGATACGGTGAATAATATTTTCTGGATGGAACCGCATTACACCACCGTGGTTCATGAGTTAAGTTTCATAAGAAAGAATAAATTATTTTCACCAGGAAGTATATCAAAATAAAATCTTAACAGATGTCATTTTAATTTACTGGTGATGAATCTATCATTTTGAAATTGCTATTCTTGCGGCTTCCAGTGACCTAGGCATTCAGTAATGCAATTTTGACTTCCAAAACGTGAAGGACATTAGTCGAATCTTTCCGCGATATATTTTATCAAATTTTGTCATGAAATTTTTGGTACGTATCTAAAGAATTTCTTTAACCATTGAATATCAAAATTCGAACCTTGAAAGCTAGCGTACTCACAGCATTTCCCTGAGTCATTGCAGCGCACAAGGCCGCTCAGCGTATTATTTGCATTTGCGGAATCGATTCGATCGGGGGCCACGGTGTAACTGACATATTTCATGAGCATCGAAGGAGGGTAGACGGTTCTGCAATAACGTTCCGAAGGTCCCGGAAAAGAGGACGATTTTCATGGCTATCAGCCGGAGGTGTTTCCTCCATTTTGAGCCTGTCACACGCAGATGGAATTGCTTCGTATTAATTCGTGGAAGGGGCCGCGAATGATCGATGAGGACATATATGAGGCCATTCTATGCAGAAAAGCTTAGTTCATCGAGTAACGTTGGTTGTCTCGAGACTCCACAAAACAGTCTATCAGTTACTAAATCAACGTGACAGTTAGGTGAAATGCAACAGAGAATGTTGCAGATCTCAACAGAGAAATTTCGAAGTTTTCTAAGAAAATTAAGTGGTTAACATTTTGACAGAATTCAAAGTTACTTTCGACGCTGTTAAAATCTTGTGATCGTCAGTTTTACTATATTTTTGATACAGGGTGTTCAGCTACTGGTGTCAGAAACTGTAATTGGTGTTTCTACGTGTAAAAATAAGACGAGAATAAAAAATGATGAAATTATGTTTAGTAAGTAACAGTTAATGATGCAGGCCAGAAACGGCTGAAACCACGCAATCTACGTACTAGCGGTAAGAGTAGAGCACGACAATACTAAAAAAAATACACTTTTACTTCGTAGCCAAAAAAGTTCGAGTTGACCTTGAAATCTCTGAAACGTCTCCACCTTAAAAAAAAATATATGCACTAGATAATGTATCCCTCCAAACCATGCTACCTTTGTACAAAAACTTTTTTCGTACAATGCATACTTTAAAAGTTATTTAAGGTATGCAAGTTGCGTGGATCACACTACGTATCACTACAACCTACAAGATATCCAAGTGTCAACAAAATCCGAAATGTTAGTCCAAGAAGTGTCCGATTTCGCGTGGAATGATCCCAAACTGACTTATGCACAGAAATTTGCGCAAACAAATCGTTGCGTCCAAACGGAAGCTTACATGTTCAAACCATTTGCGCAAATTGACTCGTGCATTATCACAAGTCACTTTGCGCAAATTATTCGACCGTGTAACAGGCCTCAAATAAAAATACCAGCCAGTTCGTTTGCACAAATTTGCATGTACAAGCAAATAAATCAACGAACACATTGAATTCTATCGTTTTAAATTCAAGTCTGAGGAGATCCATCAGACCGTATAGAATGACATAAAATAGAATCTTCTCATTCGAAGACCTCCACGGATTTTTTCGATCCTCTTTTTCAACTCCCTCGTTCGCACACGTCGCCTTTCAGACAGTCACCCCGCTGAATTATTGCGATACCCGGAGCCATCCGCGTCGGATCGTTCCCAATATTTTCGCTCAATCACCGTTCTCGCCCCTCCGGCCCCGAGTTCCGCGTTTCATCCGACATCCATTTCCCCCTCTGGATCGCCCGATCGCGTGTTTTTCCGCCAAAAATTCCGCCATTCGCATCCCTGGAACTGGTCCGACATCGAGCGTCCCGAGGGAGGGTGAGCTCGCGCGACCCCCCGCGACTTATCGCCCGGTCGGATCGTCCCATGGCACGGTTGCTCTTAGCCTTTTTTTTTTTTTCTATTTCACGTGGAAATCCCGTGGAAATGGCGGGGCCATCAAGAGGGCGAGCGAGGGAGAGCAACACGACAGGGAAATCAACGGGAACACCGCCTACGGTCACTCGCTTATCGCACGCTCCAGCTTCTTATTCCGTTTTATTCGTCGCTCGCTTCGCAGCCCCCCTTTCCCCGTGTATCTAAAGACGATTTGATGGGGTAGTTTACGTCCTGCGAACCGTATAAATCCAGTGGTGGACACCGATGCCCGGCCTGGGACGCGGATAACGTCATAAACGTGTCAGTAGACACGACGCCTGCATTTTCTTAAATAACTATTTATTATGGTCCCGGTGTCCCGCGGGCACTCTCTTCCTGTCTGTGAAAGAATTTATTGGGTCTGATTTTCTTCTGCAGAGGTTCGTGGTGGCCATTTCCGTGTAGATGGATATCTATTTACGGTGTACGGATAAACAATCCACTGCTTATTGGCGAAGACAGTAGGGCAAGTTCCTTTAGCGCTGGACAGTATCTTTCTGATTGCTGTGGTTTTCGAATATGTTTTAGAGGACCGAAAAATAAGAGATACGTATATGTTCACATCGGCCTGTTTTCATATTTAGGGGATGAAACCACACCATAAATTTTCGACCTGGAAGGACTATCTTGAAAATCAAAGAAGATACACGAAAATTTTAAAAGGACAAGTTTCATGGTTTTTTTTATGTATAATAATATGGTGCTAACAAATTGTCAAAAATTCAATTTGTTCATAACAAGAAATTTGTTATTTACAACTTATTGAAATTTACACAATGATAAAAAGTGACGAGTATTTCATTCCAAATCCATTGGTATATTTGTTTTCGAAATTCCCTCCTACAGTCTCGCAGTTTTTTATTATTTATATCCCGTGCGCACGCGAGCTGTTTCAGCTTCCGATTGCTTTGCAGAATATATCGAAAGCTTTACGGTTCATATTCGTCATAAACGTGATATTCATGGAAACAATGTTTGAAATAAAATGCTATTTTACACCAAGAGCATCTAACGATCGGTGTTTCATTACAGAGTGCGCATTTCATTTCGGTATTCTGGTCGAAAGCAAAATCTACAGAATTTACAAAATATCCGAGTTTCAAACTCTCATGGAGCTTTTACTGTATATAATACGAATATATCGTTGTACACTATTTTGAAGCTGTCCTATTCCTATTTTTGTTATGTCCGGTACTAGGTGCCATGCAATGGTTCTTTAAAATCATATAC